TTTTGAAATATTTTTTAAAACATATTTTTATAATTTATTTGAAATTTTTTTTAAAATGAGATATGTTTGACAACATTTAAGTTGAAATCGTTCAGGATTTAATTTAACTTGATCATGATAATAATTCCAAAAACGATCAGTTAATTGAATAATTTCATGATTTGATCGTTTTTTACTAAATTGTAATGTTTGTTGTAAAATAGATTGAGTTGCACTTTTCATAACACCCATTTGAACTTTAGCAAATGTATCTAAAGTTAATTCTTTTTTCATTAATTGATCATAAAATTGAAAATCTACACAAGATGTTGTTGAATCAATTAATTCAAATGAATATTTCTTAAATAAATTAATATCAATACATTCATCATATGAACGAATATAAACAGGTATTGTATATTCATCTAATTCTTCTTTTGTTAATAAACAATATCGAGAACATTCATATAAAAGTTCATATACACTTTCAGTCATTGTTAAATTATTTTCATTAAGACAATTAATAACTAAAATAAGAATTCCATTTTCAATTAATTCAATTGAACGATTTTTTAAAAAATTTTCATAATCAATTTTTGATTGATTTCGAAAAAGTTGAAGTTCTTCACCTTGTGCATATATTGATATACAATGATTTGATATATTACAAGGTTTTCGTGAAAGCCAATGAATTGATGCAGATGAAAAAGCAATAGTTAATGAATTTGGTTGAAGACAAGCTTCATAAAATGAACAACCATTTGCTAATCCATGATATGATTGATCTTGTTGATTAATTAAATCAAATAATTCTTTCCAATCATTTGTTGGTAAATCATTATGAATAAAAAGAAAAGATTTTTTCCAATTTTGAATATCTTTAATGAAATTTGCAATGATTTTCATTATATAGATGGAATTTGCTCCATGTGAACATCCAAAATCTGCTAAAACTAAATATGATAATGAGAAATCGATTTTCAATTTCTCAATTGCCTTTTTAATCAATGGTATTGCTGATTCAATCAATGCTAATTGAGGAGAAGAATTATTATTATAAGAACCAACCATACCTGATGTTGCACCAGTGTTCGTCGTCATTTTTTCTATAAATCAAATCAGTTTTCTACACGTATTTATATGAAAAACTGTTTGTACCTGAATGAAACTCGGTTTTTCGATGAGGATGAATGATTCTCATTAAGGACGACTGTAAACGAGTCTTAAGTTTTTGAAAAAAAGCCTCAATATTTATTTTATCGTCATTGATAAGTCAGGTTTTTTTTCTTTTTTTTTCTCATTACCAAGGTAAAAAGAAAAATATTTGATTTGATCTTCAATGAATAGACATATTTGTTCGTTTCTTTCTCTTCTTCTTTCCTTTAGATAAAATAAATGCACGTCAAGGACAAATTAGGAGATATATAATTCGGACATTTATTGATGAATAAAATGAAATAAATTAACGAACAAGAAGTTTGTTTTATTTTTGATGATGTTAACGTGAATAAATAAGGATTTTATGCAAGAGCATTTGTATTTGTAAATGGATGTTTCTGAATCCATTGTAATGATGGACGATTATTAGGATTTTTGATTAAACATGATTCAAGAATATTTTTAATTAAAAGTGAAGATGTTTGTGAACGACCTGATGGAGGTTGATGATTTTCATAAATAGGTGGCATACCGTATGTTAAATAATAAAGAATTGCTCCTAATGACCAAATATCTGTTTTCAAAGTAACTAAATACTGACCTGTAATGCATTCTGGACCACTATAAAAACGTGTTCCAACGATAATACGTCGTCGACCTGTATTTCCAGATGTTAATCTCAATAAAACGAAAGAAAACAAAAATATCGAAGAAAAGATTTTTTTCGAGATTTTTTTACATAGAAAGATCGTTTGTTGCGATTCCCAAATCGGTTAATTTTAATTTATTTCCAATATAAACAAAACTATCGGGTTTTAAATCTCGATGAATCTATTTGAAATGAAATTCTTTTATGAGAAAAGAAATCGTCAAAAAACGTAACTTACAATATTATAATGATAAAGAATTTGACAAATGTCAACTAGTTGAATCCAAATTTCCTTTCTATTCTTCGGTGGAATGAAATTATCGATCAATTTAGAATTTGATTCATGAAGTGTTCGAACATATTCAGTTAATGATTGATCACCTAATTCCATGGCAATTAAAGCAATATTTCGATGTGCATCGTAATCAAAACCGAGAATATTGATAACAGAATCATTTGTTTCACGAATACGACAAATTAAATCGATTTCTGTTTGAAATGATTTTATAATTTCCGTTGTTGTTAATCGCGGTTGATGTAAACGATTTAAATGAAAAACTTTTACAGCAGCATAGTTTCCTAATAAAGAATCTTTTTTTTTCTCAATAAAACATAAGAAAAACTACTGAATAACTCACCTGTTCCATCTGCACATGACCAAATTGAACCAAATTTTCCTCCTCCACGACGTTGAAGTAGCGTATATAAATGATTTCGTAAACGAAATGTATGATATGCAAGCCAAAGATCTTCCTGAGGAATTGGAGGACGTCGATAAGCTCCTATTTCATTCAAATAATGTCACATATAATCGAAATCTGAGATAAAAGAAAAAACTCACTTCGTCGTCTCTTTGTTTGTTGATTTCCCATTGAAAATTTGAATTGATACTTTTTCTTTACTGATGAGAAAACTCAACATGAATCTCTACTGTATTTAATCACTTACTTTGTATAAATTTTGTGGAAAGAAAAATGAAATTTGATGAGAGATATCGCGTGTTTTATATCTTTATTCTTCTCCTGAAGACATTTCGACAAATATAACAATTTTATTAAATTGAAAATTAATAAAGAGAAAAAAAATGAAAAACATGACTTTATTTTTCTCAATCTTTATATAATATTAAAAAATTCAGGGAGAGATTTATAAAATACATTAAAACAATCATCGGTCGACTTAAACTTTATCTTCTCAATCGATTCAGATATACAAATATCCTATTTGGATTTCATAAAACGAACATTTACGTTCTCTTTCCAACAAAAACCTTCATTTAATATTGAGATTTCTATCGAAAAATGTGTTTTCTTTTAACACAATGTGATTCTGCATTAAAATTCATCTTGATTTGAAAAGCACAATTCCATAAACACGAGTTAATGATAAAAGTACATCATTTTAATATCCTATTCGACATTAAAGATCAATTTGACTCCAATCTTTCCAATTTACTGTTTAAACTACCGAAAAACGAGTTCAATTGCGACGTTTGTCTACTTTAAATAGATGAAAATTTTTCCATAATACGAATTCATTGATATTCGGAACTCAAAGAAAGATTTGACGATGAAGACAAATTTATTTTTCACGACTTATAAAAACGAATGAACAACATCGAACATAAAAATTTGTCGTTTTATTTTTTTGATTTTAAAAGAAAAAATCATCTGATAAGAATTGATCATTTGAGAATAAGGAAAATGGATCGTTTAATGGATGAACATTGTTAGATTGTTGAGTATTTGGTGGTGTTGGTGTGATGAAAAGATACGAATTTAATGAATCATCATCAAAACAATCTTCAAAAGTATTTTCATCTAATAGAATAAATTCATCTGGAAAACTTTCCATTATTGGTGTTTCATCGAAATATAAAATATCTAAAGAAAAAAGAAGAAAATATCGAGATGAACACGAAGATTTTCAAAAAAAAAAACTTTGTGTATTTGAAATATTGTTTTGTTCAATTGAACTTTGTTGAATAAATTTTAAAATATCATCAATTATTTCAATTTCTTCTTGACAAACTTCGATTTCTTCTTGTTTCTTACGTTTTCTTTCTAATAAAATTTCATATGCATTTTTTCGATATTCTTCATTATGAAGTTTCGAAAAGAAAATCTGACAAAGAAAATATTTATCATTTGAATTCTTTGTCACAAATCAACTTACAGCAATTTCATCTGTTTCATGAGCAATTGCAATTGGAACTTGATTGGTTGTCATATTAAAAATCGAATCTTTTTCAAGTGTTTTCAAAAAATATTCCAATTCGTCAGACGGATTATCAAATTGCAATGGACCCATTTCACAAGTGAAAATTGATGTTTTATAAAAGAAGTTTTACATAACTTTTTATTTTATCTTAGTTTTTATTTAGGAAAATAGAGAAATGATATGACGAAAAAGAATTTCATTGGATAAACACAAATTGTCTATGCGTAATAATTAATAAAATCTTCATTTATCTTTTACTTAAGATATGGTGAAAAAGAAGCATTGTGCTCTTGTCTTTGTCTCTAATATTCTTTTTTTTTCTCCTTTAAGATCTATTAGAATAAGCTTGAATGACTTTATTTACCTTTAACGGATAATAAAAGACAACTTTACCTTGAACAAATATGTTTAGGGCAAATTCATTTTATCGAAAAAAGAAATATTTATCAGAAGTGTCATTTAATTTTTTTTTTAAATTTTCTCGTCGTCTATTTGGACGAAGAAAGTTTTGTGCAAAAAGTTCATTTCGAAATGAAATTATTTTGTTAATTTTATCGATTTGAAGAAAAGAAACGAAGAGATTCTAAAATAAATTTCTTCATTCATTTGTATAAAATTAACTCGTCAAAGGAAATAATTTTTCTCTTCTTTTTTTTTCTATCATAAAGAAAGAAAAGAAAAGACGACTTTCATTGATAATTTTGTGTGTCAAAATTAGTAAATAGTTATTCATTTCGTTATTGACTTTTGTTAAGAAAATTTATGAACAAGAATCAATAAGAAACGAATATCTCATTACTAAAAAAAGACTTTGACAACAAATTTTAATAAAACAATGATGAAACAAAGTCTGTAGATGCACAAATTTATTTCAATTTCTTATCACCGGAAAGAGATAAAGACATATAATTACTCGTTTCATGTCGAAGTTTTCTACTGTCTGAATCCAAAGTTTGACATTATATAATTTAATTAAAAAAATAGTTTTCACTCGACGATTTGATAAAATCTCGATTAACTTTTTTTCGGAATTGCGAATCTTATTGACTAAATCAAATAAATGTTTCATTAATTAATGATATCCGAGACAAAAAATAGTTTTGTGTTTTAATCATTCAAAATTCGTTTGTTAATGTGAAGAAAATATCTATTAGAAAACAAAATTCAGACAAAACATAAAATATGTGAATAATAATTAATATAATTCACAAAATTTTCTCTGTTTGAGTAATCAATTCTTTTAAATAAACTAATGTATCTCGATAAAAATAAAAACTTTTGTAATTGAAGTGTAAAATCTCTTTGATTCGATGCATCAAATACTTTCATCGTTGAAGTGATTTTAAAAATATTTCTAAGAAAAATATCTTCGAAATAATGTACTGAAAATAACATTAGTGTATACATAGCATTATGACATTTTCTAATCAGATCATTGTTGTTGATATTCAACTAAACAATCTTAATTGAAGATTTAACTACACTTAAACATGAAGATTTTCTTTTCTAATTAACGAACAAACAAATATGTGATATTTATTGTAAATTATTTATAGAAAATCTTTCATAAATTGACGATGGTAATGAACATTGTTCTGGTAATTTAATTACTTTTAATAATTTTGTATTCGATGAATCTTTCAAAATTAAACTTGTATTTCGTTTTGTTCCATTGAAACTTTGCAGATTTCGATGTTCAATTGTTAAATATTTGGAAAACATTTCATAATGATGTAAACCCAACATTTGTATTGCTGATGAACGATAATGACTTACACCCAAAATGTAAAGAAAAAAATTAATTCCCAATGCACCGATATTCAACAATTCACTTAAACGTCTTAAAATTCGAAATGTTAAAATCAAACGAATATTACAATGAATTGAATAATAACGAATAATTATCGTTGATATTGTTTGAACAATCGCATAAGGAAAATATAAAGATAAAAAATATTAATGAAACTAAGGTTAAAGTGCCTGTTAAACGAGATCTTAAATGTTCATTTTGATTACTAATAATTNAAAAAATTCTTTTTTATGATTTTCCAATGAAGGAGAAATTCGACAGACACACATTTGTTTGTCAAGAATGCGTTTTGTTTGATTGAATATACCTTTAGACTTGTAAATTGCACTGTGTTCATAGTTATTTGGTCGACAATTCCATTCTTTATAAATTAAATGTGGAATATTAATTAAAAGTGAAAGACAAATTAAGAAAACAAGAATACGTCTTGCACATGTAGAATTACACAATCGACGTGATAAATTTGGCCATTTTTTTGAATATGGAGTACAAACAAGAATACAACGATCAAATGTTAAAACAACAATTGTCCAACAGGATAATAAAATAATCGAATGTTTGATATAATCATGAAATTTACAAAATATTGAAAAACGAAAATTTAAAAGAGTTTTAGAAAATAAATACACAAATAAATCATTTGATGAATGAAGAACTTCATAGAATAAAGTAAAAAAATCAAAAAATGATAAAGCACGAAGATATTCAACAAATGAATGTTGAGATAATGGAAAACGACAAACAACAAAAAAACATATGAAATTACCAATTAAACCAGTTAAACCAAACACAAGTGTTCCTGAAAATAAGAATCATTTAGATAAAACACATAAAGAAAAAGAATTTGAATTATTTTATACCAATGACATTGATCCACCACCACCATGCACCTGAATCATCACTAAATGCTTGATTTAACATTAAATATGAATAATTTTTTTGTCGAAAAACTTCAATACAATCCATTATTTCATAATCTGAAACTATTGATTATATTATAAAAAAAAAGCAAAGAGAAATGATGAAGATGTTCTTTGTGTTTCTATAACTATATTTTCTTCTTTTGTGAGAAGAAAAGAAAAAGAAATGATAACAAACATGTTTTTCTTTTTCTCTTTATTTTAATTCTTCTTATTTTAAGTAAATGATTTGATAAATATTCAATTGAAAACACAGACGATTCAATTAATATTGTTGTTGTTATTTTATTTTAAAGAGTTAATCATTATTCTATCTTTCATCATATACATATAAATGAGAAAATCTGCATTTATAACTTCAAGTTAATAATCAGTTTTCTTACATGTTTAGGCGATGTCATTTAATGATTTTGTATTGAAAATGTCAACAAATGTCAGATTATACAGGAAAAGAAGTTACCTCGAAGTATAAAAAGAATCATTAGAATTGACATAAGAAAAAAAAACAACATCAAATGTAATACGACGTCTACATTTGTTTCTATCCTCTGATGATTATTAAAACATCATCCGGAAGAACTTGTCTATGATCTTCGACTATGTAAAATAATACTCATGTTCTCTTCTCAAGCATTTAACACTTGAGATCTGACGCATTTGCTATGATGAGAAAAGAAGAAGAAGAAAAAAAGGCAGAGCGATTTTTGTACTCATGATTTTTTTTTCTTTTTATTAGTCAAGTGAAATGAACACCTGTCGAATAGAGAATTTCGAATAAAGAAAAAGTAATTCCCTCGACTTGGAATGAGTAGAAGAAAAAAACTTTCGTGTAAAAGTATTAATCAATTATTTCTCGTTCAGAAATATAATGGAAGAAATATCTTCTCGAAAAGAAACAAAATACATCTCTCCGTATTCGAAAGAATTTGAGTTTTGACTAAAATAAAAATAATTCTGTCGGATATAACGACAGTTATGCATATTTGAATAACAAATTCTGTAACATGTGCGAAAGATTAAAAAGCGACTTGTTTTCCTGAAAAATATTTCTAATTAACGTAGCATAAGTTCGAGTGGGTGAAAATATTACTTTCACACAATTGATCAGAAGGTGAAAAGAGTAGAAAACAGTTAAGCGCTGTACTTTTAACAGTCATTAATTGTGCACACGCACGAGTTAACTACTTTAGTTAAGATCAAGATGATTAAAAATGTAAAGAGGTAAAAGTACTCAAAAGGAAAAAAAAAGAACATTTGTTTTCTTGTCGGGTTTAATTGGAAATATGTCATGAAAATGTTTTTAAAGAGTTTGCTTCGTTAGAATTTTGTTCAGTGATAATTAACACGAAGCAACACGCAGTTCTTATTCGAATAATCTCAACATGTGGGAATGACAAAGCAACTACTGAATATACTGTCGAATAGAATTATAAAGACGAAAAATCGAAAAGCAAAAGAGGTTTGTTTGTAAACGTTTCCGATGCTTCTACACGATGTGTACACCTTTCGGGTAAATTTAAACTTTTCCAATTGATTGATATTTTTTTGTGTTGAGATCATTGACTCGAATAGATGATATACGAAATATAAACAAAGGAAATTGTGATTTTTTTTTGTTAATTTTTGACATTTGACTATGTCAATGTCAAGTTTAGTCAATGATGTCATTTGGTATTTTTATTAATAAACATCTGTGTTTTCAAATTGATCTCGAAACTTTGTTTGACGAGAAATTCATTGAAGAAAAGATTAACCAATGAAAATGAATGAAAGATGATTCATTTATTCTTTTGTCTTCATTCATTTATGATGATGATGAAGCTGTTCAAATTATTCAAAAAACGAAAAATTCAAGCAAATGGTTCATTATTTGAGGATTTAACCAATGAAATTTACTATGAAATCTTTGATTATTTATCTTACAATGAAATAATTTCCTCATTTTTCAATTTAAATATTCGTTTCGACAATTTAATTTCAAATTATCCACAACATTTTCATCTAGGGAATGATCAAATCATTCCGAAATATATTCGTTCGTTTAAAATCACATTAACATCTCAAATTTCGTTGTTCGATCCAATTGAATCTTCACATTTTTGTTCTCTTCGTTCGATTTCACTCTCAAATTTACGGTGTGATCAAATTCTCGGAATTTTAAATACAATTCCTTCGAAGCAACTAGAACATATTTATCTTGGAATTTGTATTGATGATCGAAAAGCCAATTTTTCCAAAGTTTTATCTTCAATTCAAATTCAAGTTCTCAGTTTAACCCACTATCGATTGAAATCCTGTCAAATCAAAGATCAATTTTCTCTTGCAATTTCTGATTTACTCTCTCAATACGATCAATTAGAATATTTACAAATCAAATTCTGTGAGAACTTTTCTTTTCTTTCCGAAATTCTTTTGCGAACACCAAAATTAAATTCACTCGATGTTTCCCTTCGAGAATCGAATCAATCAATATTGACACCTAATCAATGTTATTTAACAACGCTTAATTTGCGTCCGCATTCGACTTGTTCCATTGCTGAATTGAAAGACTTTCTTGGTCAATGTTGTTCGCATTTACACAACTTATCTGTTTATTTATATATTCACCGACATACACGACCGGAATTACTTGTTGATAAAGATCAATGGACGAATATTTTACCGATACAATTGAAATATTTTCGTCTAAAATCGATTCCCAATCCTTCGATTCATTTTTATCAATTTGGTATCGATAATGAACAGTGTCACAAACCTTTTCATGATCAAATCTATTTTCTGTCAGAACAACATCATGTTTGTCGAGTTCGTATCGATGCGGTTTTTGTCAAATATTGGAATAGATGATATTTGACGAATATTTTGTATTGAGAAAAAATCTGCAACGAAAAATTTTAAATAAATAATTAAGGAACAAAAATTAATCCATGCGGAAAAAGTGATGTTTGAATATTTCCAATCAATTCCATTTGATCTAAATCAACAATGTCAATTCGATGACTCAATCCACACGAAATAAAAGCTAATTTGCCATTTTTTGTTATGATAATGTTTACAGGATTTTTGCCGACTTGAACTTTTCTTCCTAGATGTTTCGTTTCGAAATTGATTTCTTGTAAAAATCCGTCATCAACAGAATAAAAACCGTTTTCGTAACCAACATTCATGTGTCGAACATAAATCAATGATGGATTGACTGGTGAAATGATAAAACCGCTAGGTGGGTATTCTAGATTGATATGATAAACAATTTCATCTGTTTTTGTATCNCGTTCTTTTGTTCAAGGATTATCTTCATATCTAAGACGATTGATATTTTGTCGCATTGAAGAACGTTACACATCAATAGAATAACAAAAATAAGCAACAAGGACAGATTTTTTTGAGGGCTTAGTTTCATATTGAATGGAATTTTATTAGATTGTTTTGTTGTTCACATAGAGAATATTTTAGCAAGTTCAACTGGAAAAAAAACTTCAAAGTAAAGGGAAAAGTTTAATTAAGAAAAACGTGTTTGGATGAGTCAATGATTTATCAAGGTATACTTTTTTTTGCATAATCAGGGCCTGGGAGTCTTTTGATTAACAATCTTTGTAGAATTGACTAAGAGATTTTATTTGAAGATGAAAAGACAGAAGAAAAAAATGACTCAATGTGTAAAATGTTCATTAAGAAATCGAATATCGTTTTATAAAGTGTGTAAAAACTTGAGCATTGTTTGATATGCATCACCAATAGTTAAAATAATGGCAAGAAAGAGTTTCAACACCCGAATATAAATCTTCACAAAAATCGTTCGTTGTTGTCGTCGTGTTAATCGCATTTGGCATGTTTGATTTTCTTTCTTCATGTCGAAGACGTTTGAAGAAGACCGTTGACGATTTCAAGAGAAAACCTTATTCAAATGACTTCAATCTCTTTTTCTCCTTAATTAAAAAACATTTTACTATGCTCGAGTTTCTTTTGGCAAAAAGCATTTAGTTCTACTTCGATTCACACACCGGTTCTTTTTTCCTAGTTAAAGCTTCGAAAATTCTAAGTTCAGAGAAATAAACTCAACATCGCGACTCGAACGAAGGTGAATATCTCATGAGAGAGACACGTCTAAATTGAGAATTGACGTCATGGAGTCAAATTCAGCACTAATGAGCAAACCTTGAACTGTTAATAAACGGAAGAATCATTCCGGATATTGTTTACTTTCAATATCTCGCTTGCTTGAAGATTTGCTTTGTCGATATTCGACCTTGAATAAAATAAATAAGTCTTTCACGTGTCAACTGTTCGCTTTTATATTTGATTGGATAACCAATGAGTCCAGTTTGATTTTTAATAACAAGATAAATCTTTCCAAACAAATTCACATTAGTGATGGAGGTAAAATTTGGAAGATTTTTTTTTTCTTTCCCGAATGCGACATCTGTTTGTAGAACATTGTGTCCTTATTGAAGATTAATACTAGACGAGAAGATTAGAAGAAACATGACTCTTTTGTTGAAACAAGAAAAATGTTTATGAATAATTAATAAAACTCATTATGTAACAGGAATTTGATTAGTTTCTTTTGTCATAATGAAATTGTCTTCTTCTTCTTCTTCTTCATCATGATGTTGTTGATCAACCAGTTGATATGAGTGAAGCTTTTCTAATTGTTCAGTACTTGTTAGATTTGATCAATAAAACGTCGTGACTTTACATTTGTTAGAAGGTTATTCTTAGAATATGCTTGTAGAAATTCTCTTATTTGCAATTTTATTAATTAACATTCTCATTGATGAGCTTTTACCTTCTGGTATATTCATCAAATGAATTAAAAATGCTTCACAAAAGAAAAAGGAAAGAACTATTCTCATATTGACAAAGTTCAAATCTTGTTTATTTAAAGATCTTGTCAACATAAACATTTTTGCAATGAATTTTCCGTTGTTTACTTCACTTTCATCTGAAACTCACAGTGCGATTTCATCTGTCATGACAAATATGATTTGTATGTCAAATTCTCCATCAGTTGGATCTGTTATTCCATTGTTAAAACCATTTGATGAAGATGAACATCAATTGATCAGTACAAAAAGACGTGCATCACCAAAAACGATCCTTATGGCGGAAATAAGTCGAAGATTAGTGAGAAGAAAACTTTTATACAATCGACTGTAATACAAATATCATTTTGATTCTGTTTGCAACACTTTTTTGATGTTCTAGACACGCTATCAGTATAATTATGTGTAGTCTTGGTCTTTTCGGTGTACTTTTAATGATAATTAATAATGAAATTATCTTTTCGAATCTCTTTCCTCGAAGTATTTATATTTGTTGGTTTATTAAATTATTTATCACAATTACAACTTTGATTCTCATTGGATTTATCTTTTATTATCGTCGTTTAGATTTAGATTTGTATGCAATTAATAATTCGTTTAAACATTGGCGAATTGGATTGAACACGTCGAAAATATTTTTAACTTTTATCGAAGTTTTTATTTGTTTAATTCATCCAGTTCCATTACCAATACCTTTCTTATCAAAAATTCAATATGAAAATTCGACAATCTACAATTCAACTTCACCCGATTATATAACTTTGGATGTTGCACTTGGTTTACCAAGTATACTGAACTTTTTGATAAAAACTAAAATATTTTTTTTTCGTTAATTTTTAGTGTTCGGTCGTTTGTATTTATTATGTCGTTTTATGATGTTTAATTCTCATTTAGTTCGTGATGCATTTTCTCAATCATTAGGTTCACTTAATCAAGTATCAGTGAATTTTCATTTTCTTATCAAAACTTATCTTCAACAATGGAATAACAGATCCAACTGATGGAGAATTTGACATACAAATCATATTTGTCATGACAGATGAAATCGCACTGTGAGTTTCANTTTTTTTTTTAAGAGAAAATTTTCTTTTAGGTTATGGAGATGTGACACCGACAACGTATTGTGGAAGAAGTAAGATGAAAAGACTTTATCAAATGAATTCTATGTTATTTGAATAGGTGTAGCAGCGATAACTGCAATGATTGGTGTATTATCTACTGCTTTGTTAATATCTGTTCTTGCTCGGAAACTTGAATTGAGTCGAGCAGAGAAATATGTTCATAATTTTGTTTTAAATATGAAATTGGTGAAAGATCGAAAACATCAAGCATCGAATGTGATTAAATTTGTTTTGAAACTTTGGATTTTAAGACGAAAAAATCAAGCTTCATCCAATGAATTTCTCAAAGCACAAAGAGGTTTAGTTCGTTCAATGCATTTCAATCAACAAATTAAACAAGAACAAAAGAAATTAGTTGACAATTGTGTTGGAATGCCAGAATTAATCATCATGCAAAGAGATACAAATGATAAAACATATGAAAATACTTCTACATTAATCGTTATGAAGGGAAAAATCGAGAAAATTGAAGAAAAACTTTGTCAAATTGATCAAACGATGATTGATATACAAAATTCTCTTCGAATCTTATCAAATCAATTAGCAAAATAACCTTTTCTTAGAACATTTGTTTTCAATGAATAAAACATTCAGGTTGAAAGATTTCACATTTCATTTTCCAACTAGAAGAATTAAACTCAACTCTGTTCATGACTATTTCATCTTTTTTAAACGAGGTCAGACGGAATTTACTTCCGGTTCAAGAAAATTCATTGTTACAAGATTTCATTTTTTAACCAATTTTCGACCCGACGGACTTTTCGTTTTATATTTCCCCAATCTTGTCTTTTAGGATAATCATGAAGTTGTTCAAGTGAACTGAGCTTTATGAAATTCCAGGTAATATGCTGGTTTACACGATAATTTTCGAAAGGAGAGGAAAAGAAATCTCGGTCAAATTCGAAAAGTTCTATCGTAGATCTTTTTTAGTGCATTTAACTCTGAAGTTTGACCGAATTTTTTATTTAGGAATCGGAATATTTAGTGGATAAATTCGATTGGTTAGCTGGTGAAAAGAAAAGATTTCCATAAATTTTTTATAAACATCAGGTAAAGAGAAAGTTGAAACGAAAGGAAGAAGAAGTGTGATGAGATATGATAAGTATAAACTTATGGAATAAAATTCTGCTCCGATTGAAGAAGATAAACCAGATGAATAAAAACAAAGTAAAATCATTGGAGGAAAAAGAAAAACGAGATAAATTGAAGAGATCGATAATAATTGAAATATCATCTTTCGATATTTTTTCCATCGAAATCGTTGATTGATTCGAAATTTTTGGAGCCAAACACGAATTATCAATAAAATACTAAAGAAAATCAGACTAAATATTGGTAAAATGCTATTGATAATTCCATCCCACAAGGCAGTCGAACCATTTTTATATCCACAATTGGTGATTCCACATCGAGTCTTAAGATTTGTAATTGATAATGAACAAGGTAACATGAAAAATATGATGAAATCTTTCAACCTGAATGTTTTATTCATTGAAAACAAATGTTCTAAGAAAAGGTTATTTTGCTAATTGATTTGATAAGATTCGAAGAGAATTTTGTATATCAATCATCGTTTGATCAATTTGACAAAGTTTTTCTTCAATNTTTATTCTATCCTCTCTTGTATGTCAGCAAACTGTTTTCCAACGAAATATAGTACAAAAACCCTCCATAAGTTAAAAAACGGCGCGCTTCAGAAACCCATTACTGCGTAAATGCTTTTTTCGTATATGTGATGTCTATAAACCCTTGCAAGGTTTATGTAAGGTCGCGGAAAAGGCAAAGCTTTTTTCTGATACTGTTTTTTTTACAGTGTAGTAGTTTCTCTTCTATCTTGATAATGACGTCTTAGATCATCGAAACGTCGATTCTTCTTTTATTCTATTTCAATAAACATAATTTCGTTATGTTATTCCAAATCGCTGTTATTTACACAATTCTTTTCAACACCTGCATGTGAAAAAATGATGAAGTCAAATGATGATCAACGAATAAAAGAGCATAAATTCAAAAGCAGAGCAAATCGACGAAAGAAACGACTTCGAAGAATACTAACTGAACAAAGTCTCAATCAACGAGAAAAACATGACTCTCGATCAGGAGCGTATGACTAATTGTACTGTTTCTTTTTGAAATAAACAAACATATCTTGAACAAATCTTTTTGTCAATTTTGATATCGGTTGCCATGAATAAATACTTGGTGTTTTTCTTCCTTCTTATGGAAAAAAGAAATTTATATAAAACTATAAGAGATCTGATGAAACTTACTAAAAAAAGACTTTTGAGTGGGGAAAATATGGCTAAAGATTTGAGAGTGCAAATACTAATATTAGAGGGGAGAACATTTCCATTGTCTGTACACATTCGAGTTTCTTATGTCTCTATGAATTAATCACTTACTGATAATTACTAAATAAGAATTGATGTTGGATTCATATTCATCATTCATATTTGAGTAATTTCAATTTTTCCAGAAAAATCGTTGTTTAAGCAAAATCAATAAACTAATTAAATAATTAAATAAATCTGATATCACATTCGGGTTATACGTGATCGATTATCCTTTTCCTCTATAATGAAAACTTGATCAACTAATTAAGGGCTAACTGGTATTTAATTAATAAATTCATTAACTAATTAAGTAAAACCAACCCCAGATTCGTATCCCTCAAACAAAACTACCCTTTTGCGACAAATTGAGCGAGAATAGTAGCATAACAACCAGAGAAGAAAAGTTTTACACAACTTTTTCTTATTTTGCATTTTTCTCGAAACTAGGTTTTTAGATTCCAAAAACCAGTTTTCCTCCTTTTTCTCCGCCATTTTAAGTCGATCGGGCTGAAAAGTTTTTTCCTGGGACTACAACCTATTTTGGGGGCATAATGTTTCTGTTTGTTCATAAGTATATCCAAAAAAATTTGGAAGGATCTGCAAAATTGCTAGCATTGTGAAAAGCCAGCTTTTCGAGGGTGTCTTCAGTATTTTGGATTTCCTGAAGTGAGTTTTAGGAATTTTTCAAAAAAAATACCCCAGGATTGGGGTCTACCATCTACAGTATAAACTTCAGCCGAAAAGATTGAAATCTATTGATTTGCGGGGAGGGGGGGACCTTTGGGTGAATTTTGGGTCTTGGGACTTCTAGAAGTCCATGAAGACGAGGTCTGAGAATTTATGTCCAGAACAACTTTTCTTCTACTCATCGAGATCTATCTAGTCTGATAGTTTCATAAAATTTCGCTCGTCTGTTCCCGAGAAACCCCGGAAAGCGGAGGCTCCCTTAACAGTCGCAAGGTGGAAATCCGTTTCTCAGGAGGTAGATTCAATTCATAAACTGATTTAGCACTCAAAAAGCGTGCCCACGCTTTACCATTTCTGGCGACTTTTCTGCTTGGAACAAGACTCAGTTTCTAGACGAATTTTGGGTAAGTTAGTGTGAGATAAATGATAAGTTACGAGCTCTACCTTTCAACATTGTTTCTTTCGACGTCTGGAGAGAAATCTCTTTGAGAGGACTCTGAGACTCGGTATTATCGCGAAGGGATTGTCACTCTCACTGTTTTTTAATGGATTGTTTTAAATACTGTCTCCACAATTTTTGGAGAAAAAAATGGAACGGATTTGATAAACTATTGTTAGCTTTAGTAATCTGCACATTCTTCTACTTTTGTTATCATGGTATTATGCACCATTTCTGTGACAAGAGATGTGATCGGGATGATATTTTATCCCAGAATCGTACTTTTGTTCTCAATAAGTCACATGCGGCTACACGGTGTTTGTGTGTAATTACAAGGGTGTATGGACCACAAGTCGAGTATTTGCCTGTTTTAGCGCTTGGACTACGATATGCTGGACTTCAGAACATTCGGATGTTTGTAGTAAATACAGATAACCGTACTGACATTGGACAATTGGCTGCAACAATCGAGATCATCAATAAACTCGTGCGTCATAGTAACTATATTAGGCTCTTAGATATGGGCGTGCTATCAGCTCAAAATGATTATGGTTATGACATGACTGATCGCGCACTCAAGTATCTGTATGAAGGAACTTCACGACCTTATACAACGTGTGCCTACGTGATGTTCACAAATGCTGATAACTTTTATGCTCGAAGTTTTGGAAAATATATTCTTCCATATATGAAAACTAAAGTAAATATGATCGCCTGGGGGTTTGTATCCAGATTTGGATGGTCCGAATTAATGGAAGTCGTAAACAGTACGAAACCTTGCCATCCAT